CAGGAATGCTACTCCTAAATCATCTCTGGTCACTTCTTATCAAAACTTTTCTCCAAAGCCTCCAATGGAGATGCCACAACTTTCCTGAGCAGTCTATTCCCCTGCCTCGGTTCTAACAGTAAGTTATTCCTGATATCTAATCTAAATCTACTTTGCTGCAATTTGAAGCCGCCGTTCCATGGCCTGCAGCATGGGAGAAAAGTTTTTCTCTGTAGCATGGGAGAAAATTCTTCTTCTTTCTCTTTTATGGCAGGCTTTCAGGGATTTGAAAATTGATTCTTCTTTCTCTTTTATGGCAGGCTTTCAGGTATTTGAAAATTGCTGTCATGCCCCCCTTAATCACCTTTTCTGCAAACAAAACATGGATAGTTCTCTCAATCTTTCTTTGCACAGCTTGCCTTCCAATACCTTTGTCATTCTTGTCACTGTTGCAGGGCACTATGGTGCCTGCTCCTAGAAGAGCAGAAATTGCCTGGGGAGAGCCTAAAGAGACCAACAGAAGCCCAGGTGCAGTTTACCAGGGCAACAGGCTAGCAAGCAAATTAGCCTGCACCTGCACCTGGTCAGCTGACCAGAAGAGGCAGGGCCCTGGGCCCATATAAACCCCAGGCTGGAACTAGGTATAGCCTAGGGGTTTGCATTTTTTACTTTTGTTTATAACACCGGTGGTTTGGGCTGAGGCTACTGGGGAAGGAGGAGGCCTCATTAAGGGGGCCCACTACAGTGTAGGGACCCTGGCACCAGAGAGGGTGCAGTGTTTGGGGGTGAACAGACCCTGGCGCCAGAGGGGCGCAGAAAGAGACAGGGCTGCGGAGAGCCCTGTGATGACCCAAGGGTCGAGTGAAACCAAGGCCTCGGAGAGACGCTGTGTCAATACCATCTGCGAGGCTTGGGGCGTGGTAAAGGGACGGTTTGGAGCCACACATATAGCCCATAAGGCTGGGGGTGTCCTGAGACATCCATTTAGAAACAGGACCCACAAGGGGTCTGGGGACCCACAGGGTCCTGTGGGGTGTATCAGGGCCGTGTCCAACTAGACTTAAAGGCAACCTCCCTATTTATTATAATTGCATCAAGACATGGCGGGCGAGAACAAGGGTGCCCACTGGGCCAAATTGGCATGGTCAAGGGGCCCTAGGGGTCCCATGGCCATCCCTGGGGACCCCATCCTGTGACAGTCACTAACTTCTGGACTTTCTCTATTTTCCACACATTGTTCTTAAGATGTGGGGTCCAGAACTGCAGACAATACTCTAGATGAGACCTAATCAGTGACAAGCAAAATGAAACTATCAGCTTTGATGTCTTACACCTAATACTCCTGTCGAGGAAACGCAAAATCACATTTTGCTTTTGTTTTTCCCCAGCTCCATCACATTGCTGACTCATGTTGAGCCTATGATTCACCAAAACCCCAAGATCTGTCTTGGCAGTGCTGCTATGAAGCCTATAGTATAAAGTCTTCCAGTCTGTATTTGTGCTTTTCATTATTCTTCCCTTGTGTAACACCTTACTTTCAATACTACACTACAGAAAGATAAGACCCATTCCCAATCCATTCAGTGCAACTGAAAGGGCTAAACACACAGTTTGCAAAGCAGTTTGTCATCACTAGAAATTAATAAGCTTTGTATGCATGTAAGTGAAAAGTGATATCAGAAATGAAAAGTGATATTGCATTTGCGCAGAACATGCTACATTTCACACCAACAAAACACTTGTAAAAGCAATGTGTCACATCCCCAAGAAAAGTAACATGAAGTGGCCTCCCCACACCATTCTGAACACCAAATGCCCCAGGCGATGTTATATGCAGCACTAACTCATGATGCCCCCAAAGAACCCTGCAGAATCCTGCAGTTGCTCTAAGTTAGTAGGTTCCCACACACACTGACAAAGTAAGGGCTGTAATTATGGCTGCTTGTAACTACACTATGAACTTGTGTAAATGAGCATGATGAAAGGACTGGCGTCAACTCCATGGGAACTCTTCAATATTACTTTCTCCTTGAGTGATTTTTTTTCTCTTCTTATTAAATAGCACAGCTTATTTTGAAATGTATAGAAGAAATAAGTTTGTGTATCCACACAATTCCTTTGCCTGGTTTGCACAGCTGGTGAAATATTGATGATGTGAAGGGTTTGGCTGCCATTCTTACTATATTAGTTGGTAGATTCTGAATCTGGCCCCCTGCCAAGCTGGTCCCCTGCTGCAGATGTGAGCTCTTTGCCACACACATGCAAAAAGAAAATTACACCAAATAAATGCTTTTTGGCATTGAGGAAAAAAAAATCCTGCTCAAGGGCTTCAGAGATTGATTCATCAAGGAAAATTAAAAGGTAAAATACATACAGTGCAACTGAGCAATGGCTAGAGGGGGAAATGATAACAGATTACAAAACAGAAGTGTGTAGACATAGCAGATGAAGAGATATGAATAGACTGAAATTATTTGAGGTTGTACGTGAGGGTGTTACTTGAAATAATTATATGAAATTAAAAGAAGGAAAATCTAGGTTGGGCATCAGGAAAAAAAAGCCTTTCAGAACCTTAATGATTAAGTAAATGGATTTTTTTCACAAAAATCCAGCCTAAACCTAGGTTTTTTCATGGCAAACATATGACATCAAACCACTCCTTGGATCTGTCTTAAGAGAATTGCTTCTATAGATGCCTGATGTATTCTTGCCAGACTATTGGGTCATAATGAGGTATAAAGCATATAGATTGCCCCAAGCAGCGAAAGAAGCTTCCCTTGTTGTCAACCAGAATTCCAAGAAGAAACTGAACATGGACAGTTATACAGCATCCCCAGATACTCTGCTGGGCCAAAGAACAGGTGTTCAGCTGCCAAATATCAATGACCAGCACTTTCATTGCCACAAGGTCACCATCTTGATTATTATTCACAGAATGAATAGACTAAAATTAATTTCCACCTACCTTAACTGAACAACAAACCCAGGCTTAACATGTATAGTCCATTCACAGCGTGCATTCAATGGGTAGCTCTCCAACATAATTTGACCCTTGGAAGTCCGAAGAATCTGCCCACATCCTGAAGATGAAAAGAAGTTAAAGGAAGTCCATTAGAGACCTTCATGATAGACCAAGGACAAACTGGGCCCAGAAACAGTGACCACATTACACAGAGCAGTAATAGACAGATTATGCTTAGAGGCAACCAAAATGGGTTCATTAGAGGCAGGTCCTGTCAGACCAACCTGGTTGCCTTATACGACCAGGTCACAAAATCCTTAGACGCAGGTGTCACGGTGGACATAGTCTTTCTGGACTTTAGGAAGGCCTTCAACACTGTCTCTCGCCCCATTCTCATTAAAAAATTAGGTGACTGTGGTGTCGATGCCTACACAGTCAGATGGGTTGCAAACTGGCTGGAGGGCCGCAACCAAAGAGTGGTGGTGGATGGGTCATTTTCGACCTGGAGGGATGTGGGCAGTGGGGTCCCCCAGGGCTTGGTCCTTGGGCGCGCACTGTTCAACATCTTCATCAGTGACTTGGACAAGGGGGTGAAAAGCACCTTGTTCAAATTTGCGGATGACACTAAGATGTGGGGAGAGGTAGGCATGATAGAAGGGAGGGACAAGCTACAACTAGATCTGGACAGGTTACAGGGGTGGGCAGATGAGAACAGGATGGGAATCAATACTGACAAGTGCAAGGTGCTGCACCTAGGTAGGAAGAACCAGCAGCATACCTACAGGCTGGGGAACTCCCTTCTCATCAGTGCAGAGGCAGAAAAGGATCTTGGAGTCATTACTGATGCCAAAATGAACATGGGCTGACAGTGTGGGGAAGCGGTCAGGAAGGCCAACCACACCTTGTCATGCATTCACAGATGCATCTCAAGCAGGTCCAAGGAGGTGATCCTCCCCCTCTATGCGGCACTGGTCAGGCCGCAGTTGGAGTACTGCGTCCAGTTCTGGGTGCCGCACTTCAGGAGGGATGTGGACAGCATTGAGAGGATCCAAAGGAGGGCCACTTGCATGGTCAGGGGGCAGCAGGGCACGCCCTATGAAGAGAGGCTATGGGACCTAACCTGTTCAGCCTCCACAAGCGAAAGCTGAGAGGGGATCTGGTGGCCATCTATAAACTTACCAGGGGGACCAGTGGGGAATGAGAGAGTCCCTGTTCCCCTGAGCACTACCAGGAGTAACTAGGAATAACGGCCACAAGTTGATCGAGAGTAGGGCCTCTAGACACCCCCTGGGTGCTAGCCCAGGGGCTGGCAGGGAACACAGGGCAATGAGACTGCTGTCTCCTAGTGGGGGCTGGAACATTGCTCCAGTACAGCACATGTAGACAGCCAACTGGGAGCAAATGTGCTCCTGGGCAGCAGGGGGCAAGAGATTGCTCTTTGCCCCTAGGAGCTACATGCTGCTGGGGCAGACTCTGCCACCAGAGTCTAGGCAGGGAGAATATCCCCTGCCCTGGCAGCAGGGAGCTCCCAGTGCCAGCTCCCCAATTGCAATTGGGAAGCAGAGGCTGGGGGCTCCCTGCTGCTGTGGTAGGGGGCCATTGTCCCCACCCAGGCTCGAGTGGTGGAGCCTGCCCCAGACAGCTCCTAGGGGCAAGGAGCAATCTCTCGCCACATGCTGCCCAGCTAACCAGGAGCACATTTGGTCCCAGTTGGCTGTGTACACGTGCTATCCTGCACAGTAAGTAATCGAGAGTAAATTTGCAACTTGTATTTACCGGTAGCAAATTTACTCATGCTTAGAGCAAATTATTGCACAGTAAGCATCTGCGTGTATAGAAAGTGATGCTTACTGCACAGTAATTAGCTTTAATCTCAAGTAAATCATCTTGCATAGATACGCCCACTGAGATTGATGAAGGCACTATCTGAGGTGACCTTCTGAGTGACCAGAAGCTCCATTAAAATCTTTTCGATAGTATCTAAAAATCCATTTGTCTGCCCTTAGGCATATTCAGGAGGGCTGTGCAAAGCTTCAGGTGGTGATTGGATTCGGAGGAGATTTGGCTCGATTCAGTGGCGGAATCTCTGAATCTGAATCGAATCAGGGGACCATTTAAAAGGTCGGAATTGATTCAAAGCTCTCTGAATTTTTAGAAAAGATTTGGCACGCTTTCATGATTCAGGAAGTCCCTGGTGGCATGGGGTAATGAGGGGCAGTGGAGTTCACCCCCGCCAGCAGGAGTGGTGAGTCTGGGGGTTTTCTCTGGGGTTTTTTTCTTAAAGGGCCAGAGCTGGCCTGGGTGGGGCACCCATGGGAAGGGCTGGGGGAGCAAGCAGGGGTTGAGGGCTTGTGCAGAGCCCCCCATGCAGCATGGGGAAGTGGGAGGCAACGAGGATTGCCCCCTGCCCGGCAGCACCCGGTGAACCGGGGCTTATTTTTAACAAGAGCTGGGAGCTGGGGCAGGCAGGGCAGCCATTGCCGGGCCTGGGTGAGGGGCAGGGGATGGGCCTGGCCTGGCTGATTTGGAGATTCAGCAGCAGCCTTCCCAGTGTCAGAAGTTAGCCTGACTAGTCACCCTCTTTTAGGGGACCTTAAAAGAGAATCTCAGGGTGGCAGATGAATGTCTGAGGAATTTTCAGAGGAGGGAACAGGCCAGCAGAATAGGCCACTCTGGCCTTCATTTGCGTGTTGCCAGGTTCTTGCATACTTGTGACACCTTAACCCCAAATTGCTAGTGGGGATTTGGAAGACTTAAGAGAGGTTTGTCTTGAGACACTTCTTGTTTTCTCTTTTCTTATGTATTCTTTTCTATATTATATTGTCTTCTTTCTCTATTACTCTTCCCCAATCCCACCTCCCCCTCCACCCTCTTTTGATCTTATCTTGAGACCAAATGAGCTACATAGCAACAGCATGATGAGTGGTCCAGTTAGCTCTTCCTAGTCTGAAAGAACAGTAGGAAAAAACAGACCAAACAATGATGTCCCAAACTCGGGAGGTGAGCAGGGGTCTATAACAACACCTGTACTGGCCAAGTTGTCAGCTTGGAGTACCCACCTGAGACTGGCCTGTTACCTTGGATCTGAAAACAATTTACAAAAGTTGTCTCTCCTCATGCCATCTTTTTTCCAGCTTTCCATATGATTTGTCAGACTCCTAGAAAAGGACTTTCTTTCCCAATTCAAAACTCAACAATACAGCTAACCCTCCTCTCCCTCCACTAAGGAGGACTACTTGGCAGAAGAGAGGTCAGTGAACATATTTTCCCTCTCTGTGGTAAGTTTTGGTTAAGTTTGTTTTGCATAACTACTTCTGTTCAGTTTCAAAATATTCCTTCGCGTTTTGATTTTTTTATGCGCATCTTAATTTATTTCAAAATTTGGGCATGAAATTTCTGATCTGTTTGCTAGGGAACTAAGCAGGCAGAGGTCCCAGTATTAAAATCCTGAACCTTGTTTAAGTGTTTCATTTTGCACATTTGTACAGTCATGTTAAAATCTTTGACTTTTTTGGCCTCATTCTCCAGTCAAATTTAATACATCATCACTTCGGCTTCCTGTACCTCAGTATTCTCATAAGAAACATGAGGATAATGATACCTACTTCCTTGGGCACAGAACCGTCATTAAGTCTACAGAGACCTCTGTGATGCTTAAGTGAAAGTGCTAGAGAAAAGCAGACTTACATCACAACAGACCACATAAATGCTCTCTTCCAAATTCTGATTTCCTGTTTACAACTTTTCTTGTGGAGGCATGAAGTTTGCTACGTTCTTTTTTTTCTTTTTTTCTTTTTTCTTTTTTTTTTTTTTTTTGAGCCTTCTTTTAAGCACTGCTGGATGACTTTGCATTCACTGAGCTAAGGATTTCATGGTGGGTAATAGCATGTCTGCCCTGAGGGTTATGGTATGCTGCAGGGACAACAGCGATAACTGCTGGGAAAGGCAAAAAGACTCTAGTTAACCTCAGAGGAGGGTGTCAAAAGACTTCCAAGAAGTTTTTGTGCTTCCTTAATCCAACAGAAAGTCCCATTCACTGCACCTTGCAGAAACCCAACAAGGGCAGCCAACCCTAAGTTTCAGGGTGCAATATGGGCATTCTTTTCTTGACTGAAAAAGCTATAACATTTCTCATGAGCTACTTTTCCTACTGGGGGCCGAGGGGTCGTAGAACAAGCCTGTGGTGACCTGATTATCGGAGGTACCGAGCTTCTGTTAAGAGCTCTAAAATTTGGGCCTTGTGTGTCAGTGTGGTGAGACATGGAAAACTGAGGGTCACTTGCTCCTGTTCTTTTTTAAGAATAAATAAAATTTCCATTGTTGGTTTACCCTCAGTTACCCTTAATTAAGCAGGACCTGATGAAGCAGAAATCCAGCTCAGAGGAGTTCATCACAAGTGTTTCATCCTACACTGTAACTTGGTTCTTTCTGCATGTAAAAGGCAAGGATTAATTACTATGCCCCTGTGGCCCCATTAGGATGCAGATGGGATGCCAGGATCTGATCTGGTACACATAATAATGTGCCTTCCCACAGCAGAGAGACGGACCTTGCACTGTTATTGGCTCTGACCTCAAAAACAACCTGAGACAAAGCTGCGGGAAATCTTCAGATGGCTTGACAAGGCCCTTGGATCATCTCAAAGGAAATTTCGTTTTCGTGCAGAAGAGCTTTTGAATTTCCTATCCTCTCCTGCCTCTAACAAAGGATTGCAAAGGAACTTGTGCAAAGGGATATGTGTGTGCAAGGCATACTAAATGCACTTTTCTGTTCTGAACGGTACAGTCTGAACTTTCTGAACAGCCATGCCAAGGAAGCAGATTTGGCCAACAAAGCAGGTGGTCCAAAAGCTAAAGAGGAGCCATTCTGAGACTGCCACCAAAAGAATATTTTCAAAATTGTTACAGGCTATCTGTGTGGGAAACCTACTTGAGATCAGATCAGATCAGATCAGAGCTTCACTCTTATATCACCAGCTTATCTAGCAAAGGTTGTGATGACTCTTTCTGAAAAGGATCAGGCAAACAACACTATTGTCATCTTTCCATCTAAAGGAATCTTTTCTCTTGCCATTCAGAAGCTTCAGGAAACCTGGAAAGTTCTCAAGAATAATTTACA